GATTTAGCAGTACCTATTTTCTCCCACTAGCTATGTATCCTTTAGTAAAAAAAAAAAAAAAATACTGTATCCTGAATCTAAAACCATTTTCATGCCTCCCCGTGCTGTGTCTGCAGAAGATGGAGAAACATCTAACATGCCCCATTTCTGGGAGACATATCTGGTACTTTCCTGTCTCAGAAAACTATATGTGAGGTAGAAATTATCAAATGCTTCGTTATAAGCTACAAGTCAGCTAAAGGTAGTCAGATGAACAAAAACCTTTTGCTCTGATGGGAACTGGAAAAGTAAAGAAAACAAAACAAATTCTTTTGAGGGCCGAGCTGGGTGCACTATTGGAAGTTTTTTTATAAGACCTGAATTTAGCCATTGAAGCTCTTGCCCTACTCTTCAGTCAACCTCTTGTTCTGATTTCATCCTGACACTAATAAAGTGGGTAGTGAGCAAATTAAGCAGATAGAAAGGAAAAGAAAAGGTGGATAATGTGTTTGTTTCCTGTATCTGCCTTAAGTTCTGGCAGCAATTCATTTCTACAGGTATACTATTTTCTGCCATAAGAGAGCCAAAAGTTTATGTGTTTTTCTGTACAAACTGGGCCCCAGTGTACAATTCCTTCCACTGGTCTCCAAGGTCCTTATTATAAAGATAGCATCAGGCAAACTTAAAAAAAAAAAATCAGTGCTGCCTTAGATATATTCATGAGACATAAGTTCTCTAAATCATGATATCCTTTGAGTGGACCATGATTTTATAAGTTGTCCTGTTTCTTTCTTGAAACCGTCCTCAGAGAATCATTTCTTATATCGCTAGAACAAGAAGCAACATGCTTCATTGGTGGCGCATAGGGATCTTGACTTCTGCCAGCCCTTTGAGTTATGACAGGTCAAGAAACAGATGGACACCACAGGAATTCCAGGAATCCTATTTTATTGTTGTGCAGAATGTTAACAAAATCTTGAAAAACTCTCCAAAACCTTCACCACCTGCTTTTAAGGACAGGAATGTCAAGGCAGTGCTGTTCTGAGTCTCTGTCTCATGCTTTTTACTTTCCCAGGCCAGAGTAACCATTTTTGCTTTCTGTCTCTCTCCCCCCACTGCCATTTCTCAAAATCAGAGATGAATTCCTCCACTGCACCGTAGCCAACTCCATCAATATGTTCTTCCATGAAAGTATACATTTTAAAACTGTTTTAAGAAAACTAATAGTGGCCATCAGCATATTCTGCAACAGGGCTTTAAAAAAATAGCATCAAGGTATAACTTCTCCTTTTCTGTGGTTTCAGGGATATTGACTATCAGCATGTGACCCTCCAACCTTTTTCCAAGCTCTTGTCTTCCAGTTTGTTGGACTTCACCTCTTGGAATTCCCCCAGAACAGGACCTGTTCCTACAATTTAATTCTGACATCCCCAAATAGTTCTTTTCCCCCCCTGTAAGCTAGGAGGAAAAGCTGCCTTAGTTCAAACTGGAATTGGATTCCCCTAATTTTAGGACCCAATGCCCTGCTTGTTCACACTAAGCCAAAATCATTTCATTAAATTGTTGTTAAGATTGACAGGTTGATTATGGTA